AATCTGCTATCCCAGGTCCATACAATAGTCCTTCCTCTTCTTCAAAAAGCTGATTTTGTTAAAGTTGTTGTTGTTTGCGAGCTTTACGAGCATCTTTTGTTTGTGAAAGGCTCCTGCGATCCTGTCGAGTTATTCGCGCCTCATCAGTATTATCAGCAAATGCTTTAGCATAAGTGCCTACAGTCAAATTAAGAAGGTTCATTATTCTTAATATTGAACTAAAGCCTTCATTAAATATCCCAGCAGCAATGTATGCTAAAATTTCAACTACTTTTAGCCCACAATGAAGGTGTTTTGGTGATAGTCGCCAAACTGTCGCGTTGAAACTTTCATTCGTGTTCTGCGTATGACCACCAAGGCATCGCTCAAGTAAATAATCTTTTGACAAATCTTCGTAAACTGTTAAAAGATGCTTTTTCATTTATTTTCCAAGCAATGGAGCTAAATCTACGTCTAGAGGATCTTGATTTAGGGCAATAGACTTTTGCCATTTGCACCAGCTATCAACGCCTATTGGACAGTTTTTATGTTGTGGGTGTTTTTTAGTAGAAAAAATATGGTTATAAGTTGCCATTATGACTTTTTTGATATCTTTAACACTGTGAAGATTTCTTTGAAAACTCAAACCATAGTATTTTGTTAGTTTTTTCACAACTTTATCAGTTAGTTTTCCTCTTCCAAAAAGTTTCTTTTCTTTCCTTATATTTCTAAGTCTTGAACGCATTCTTTTTTCTACATGACCAATACATTCACTCTTCACAACTGTTAACTCATCACCATAAGGATTCAGATCTAAAATAGCCTTGAATGTTTTAGAATCTCCGTCGCCAATGTAGTTACCATATTTTACTCCAAATTTTTCTTCAGAACGCGAGAACCTTTCTTTCATGGCATCGACTTCCATCTTGCCTGACGTGCCTTCGTGAGTTTTTTGACACTCATCCTCGTGATTCTCAAACCATTCACGGAATTCTTCTGTATGAATCTTATTTTTCCAGTAAGTACAGCCTTGACAGTAACTACTTTTGTTATCAAGTCAATCACTTTCCTGAATAATAACGATGAGCGTTGTAACACCGTACTTTGATTTGAAGCCGCGCTTTTTCCAGGTGCCATCACCAGATACTTTTAAAATATGTCTTTCTCGTCCTTGCTCGAAATTTTTTTCTATCTCTTCTTAATCGGCTTTTTGCGATAGTAAATCAAATGATAATTTGGTTGAATCATAAATGTGTTCCGCGATGGTATCGTAGCAATGTTTGCTCAAACCAGTGCATAAGACCATCAGATTACAAAAGACATTTATTCCTTCTCTTGCAACGCCTAAAAGTCTCATGACAAACACTAATTTACGATTTATTTCAAATCCATTGTTAATAAAAGGACCTGAATTTATTATTCTATCACCACATCGGCACGTAAGAACAATTTTAAAACCGATTGAATTGAAAAAAATTCAATTATTATATACCCGTGCAAAGGATTAGTTTTTATGTCTGTAATATCACGCATATTGAGTTTTCTTCCAATGGCACTCTCATCATGACTTGTACTAGCGTCATTTTTTTCACCTGCGCTATCAGTGAGATGATTGCCTTGATAACGTCTTTTTTTAGCATTATGTCGTGCAATATTACCTCGCTTACCTTTTAGATAATTTGGCATTTTTATGTTTTGAAATAGACTGAACACTACGAATTTTCCAGCTAAACTAAATATATTTCTCGACTAGCTTTTGTTCGTATAGCAATATTACGCCTGTAATAAAATTTATAGAAGTACTTCCGTTATAAGACAAAAGAAGTATTTCCTAGTTATTATAATGGAAGATACCCTTTTACTTGAAGCGTCGACTACCTGGCTCGCTTGAGAGCGCGCACTCCGTCCCGCTCCACTATATTAGCTATAACTTTGTTAATATAAGAGATTTTTTTCCCGCTCGTCAATATATGCTCTTTATACTATACTTGCAGATTATCGAAAAAAAATCATTTTTTTGAAAATTTTATATGGACTTCCCCCCTTAAGCAGTGCTTAACTTAACTTAACCTTCATATATTACTATCTATTCTTCGACAAATTTTGGGAAATTATAACTGGGAAAAGGAAAATGACAAAATCCCTTTGATCGATACCAAATTTAGATTCTGAATTTAAATAACATAAATAAAAAATAATATAACCTAGAAAATGTTTTATAAATACCAATAAGTATCTAATTATACAAATGAGATCTTTCAGAGCACCTTGTTTGAAAAAAATATGCCAAAAAGTGCATTTTCATATTAACATTTCAAAAAAGTTGATATTTTGAGTCTCTAGTAGTGATGGGCGTTGAATTAACGAACGGTTATTTTCAACCGTTTCTTCTTCGTTAACTAACTAACCGTTTCGACGCAACGAAATAACTAGTTGAAAATCAACTAGTTTCGAAACAGTTGAAAACATGGCGGCCAGTTCGTTATTCAACTATATAGAATTTCGTTCGTTGTCGAACACTTACGAATGAAATGAAATGAAATGAAACGAAATGAAGCATCTAGTGTTTCTTTCATGAACTTATAATAGTGGATTGAGATATCAACTTGAGATATATAATATAAATAACCAATACATTTTCTATAATTATTTATTACAATATTTTATTTGATTCTACTAGTTATAATTTGATTCAAAATTACTTTTATTAATAATTATAACGTCTAGAATGAAAAATCTATAATACATGTTCTAATAATTTTTGAAAAACAAAATTATAGATATTAAACTGTGTTTTTTATAACAAATAAAATAAATGTACGTTATGTACTGAATATTTTGAGCTTTTTTTATTTTATTATTAGTGATTATCAATATCAAAAAATAGTTATTTATATTTTTGTTTTTTGGAATTTATTAGAATAAATATTAAATATATAGATTTCAGTATAGATATATATAGATACTATAGTATAGATAAATACCAATAGAGAAATGGACAAAATTCATACTTTACGCGCAATAATAATAACATATTTCTTTAATTTTAGTTTCAATAAATTCAATATAGATTATAATGAATTCATTTTGATATATCAATTGGAATTATTCTGTATAACATTTTTTCAAAAACGCTGTGATAATATTAAGTAGCAGATGTTCGAACGCGCGGTATTTTGGAAAAACCTAGGTCGGGAATCTACAAGGAATAATAAATACTGTCATAATCGCATTTTGTTGGGCTATAATTATAATATTGCAGCATAATAAAAGATTATAAACTTGCAACAAGCGTAAATTCGTTTAATTTTGGAAAATCATGTAGTTACAAAAATAATAAAGATTATTATAAAAGATATATTCAGGGCCGGATTTAGAAATTTGGCGCCCTGGGGCACTGACAAAAATGCCGCACCATCCCTGAAATTTTACTTAAATTGTTTTTATATATTATTCCCGTACCAAAAATAAAAATTAAAATTTTTTGAAAATTTAAAAAAAATCAATTTTTAAAAATTTAGATTTTTTTTTATATTTTGAAATTTTTCGGAGCGCGATTGCTTTGAAAAACTTCATAGTTTTCAAATCAAATTTCAATATAGATATAAAAAAAAGTTTTTTAAAGGGCTTGTTTTTCATTTTTCTGAAAATTTTAAAGCTTTTTATAAAATGTAATTTTCAGTACGAGAAGTTCCAGTAATTTGCAGTAATTAATGGAACAATGCCATGCGTCACTAGAGTTTAATTTTTATTCGGCGCTTGAAAGTGCACAAATTTGTCGTCTCAAGAAGGCTCGAGATCTGAAGAACATATTTTTCTTATACTTTCAGCTTGTTTACGGAACTTTATATTAACCAAATTGCCAAATTTGATAATAACTTATTAACCAATTTGATAATTTTCGTTCGGAAAGGGAGGCAAAGCGAAATAATAAATTTTAATAATCGGCTATTTGAACCCAAATTTTGCATTACAATCGTATTATGCTTTATACAATTTAACAAAAGTTAATTATTTTTCTTGAAATAAAAACTGTTAATTAATTAATTACATTGTATAGCATGTTTTTCTCACTATCCAAATTTTGCCGCCCCCGAAAATCTGCCGCCCTGGGCAGTAGCCCCGACTGCCCCAACTGTATTAAATATTTTATATGAACAATTCACAAATACAATTAAGATAGCAAGATTTTCGCAAAAACTATTACAACAAAGCGCTTTTTGCTAATTTGAAAGAAATGATTTGGCCGATCGTCTCGCAAACCTAACTGAGGCGAAAACATAAAGTTCTCCTTCGGAAAGTTAATAACTTTCTATAAGTCATTAATTTATATTACTATTTATTTTTGTTAATTATTTTTATAATTTATAAGCTCATTGTTATGATAATATATTCGGTATACATAAATATGTTTTGAGATATTAAGTTTAACCTGTAGATTTTTCAAAAATGCTATGATTATAAAATAACAGATGTTGGAAAAACCTAGGTCTCGAGTCAGAGTAGAAAATTATTACGAAAAATCGGGTGTTTTGGCATTGTGCTTATATATAATCTGCCTCTTTATGGTTGTTTTTGGTCAGTATAAGTTCGGAGATACGTGTAGCAAGTCAGTGACTAATTTAAATAAGTTGTATATTTCGTTTTTTTTACTTAAAAAAAATATGGCATCTCGTCGAAATACCAGTGTTTTGTGGCATCATTTTGAAAAAATTGATACTACAAAAGCACAGTGCAATGTGTGTAAACAGCTTTTGAACTACAGTTCAACCACGGCCAATTTAAAAAGCCATTTAAAAAGGAAACACATTTCTGCGTATGTTTCATTAGAAGAATCTGAGTTAGGAACATCTCAGCAGAAGCAGACTCGCCTTTCACCCTATGTGAGAAGCACCACAGAAACAGTACCGAGCTGCAGTAGTTCACAACAGCAACATAAAAATGCGCACCAAAGGATTTTGGACACTTTTATTATTAAAAAGATAAGCAACGAACAAAAAAAAATGATTGATAATGACCTAATGGATATGTTCATTGACAGTTTCCATCCATTTTCGCTAGTTGAGGAAAGATCTTTTAAAAAATTATTGCGCTGGATTCCAGGATATGTTCCTCCATCAAGGAAAACCGTTTCCGGATCTATGCTGGAGGAAAAATATCATAATGTAGTTGAAGGTGTAAAACAGAAAATTTTAGAAGCGGAAACTCTTTGCATAACCCTAGATATTTGGACATCCAGGGCTACAGAGTCGTATGTGGCTGTTACAGGTCATTATATTACAGAAGAGTACAAATTAAAAAATATGCTGTCAATTTGAAGGGACACATACATCGTTCGGATGCTGTCAATTTGAAGGGACACATACATCTGAGAATATAGCAAAAGAAATACAGAGATTGCTCACTGAGTGGAATTTGCAGCAAAAAGTTAATTTTGCCATAAGCGATAACGCTTACAATATGAAAAAGGCAATAAAAAATATTTTGGGATTAAAGCATCACGGGTGTTATGCACATACAATAAATTTAATAGTGAATGATGGACTAAAATTAATTAAAAGTGAAATTGACGTTGTTAAAAAAATAGTGAGTTATTTTAGAAGAAGTGTTACTGCTTCTGAAAAGCTTCAGAAGAATCAACTACAAATATACGGACAAACCAAAAAATTACTCCAAGACATTGATACAAGATGGAATTCAACTTTTTATATGGTTCAACGATTTGTGGAACTAGAAGATGCTATTAAAATGACTATGAGTGTATTAGAAACAAACTTAGCACCAGTAACACCAGAAATGTGGAAAATATTAAAACAATTATGCTTAATATTGAAACCATTCGAAAATATAACTAATTCTATAAGTGGTGAGAGCTATTTAACGGGAAGCTTAGTGATCGTTCTAACAAGATGCTTGAATGAGTCTTGCTCAAAAATCTTGCTTAGAAAAGACTTGCTGTCTATTATTAGAAAAATAACTGAAGTACTTAAATCAAGCATTAATGATAGATTTTCAAATGTTGAGAGGAGTGAAACATTTGGAATATCTACATTAATGGATCCAAGATTTAAGTTACAGGGATTTTCTAATATAGAAAATGCAAACTTTATTAAGGGGCACCTACAGCAAATTGTGGTAAATATCATCGAAGAAACACTAATTGCTGAGTTTGAGGTTTTACCAGAACCATCAATTGAGGACACCGATGAATATAACCCATGGTTTATTCTAAGCAGTTTGGTAGGAACGTCATCACGTCAATCGACTCCCATGGGTACAGCCATCAAAGAGATTGACATGTATCTTGCTGATGATGTACTACCAATGAAATCAGCAGATGGCACATTCAACTGCCCAATGGAATGGTGGAACAAACATAAGCATGCATATCCAAACCTAGCAAAGGTATTTAAAAGATACTGCAACATTGTAGCCACTTCGGTTCCATGTGAACGAATGTTCTCTAAGGCAGGGATAATATTAACCGACAGAAGATCGAGACTGAAAAGCACGAAAGTAGAAAAATTATTATTTTTGAATGTAAATAAAGACCAAATCTAACATATATTTGAAACCATCATACTGTATGAATTATATATAAAACTGTCAATTATAATTTAATACCAATACACTTGTTTAAAATATATGTTTGAAAATAATTTGTTTACTTTGCAAGACTTTACTAAAACTGCCATTTACATTAATTTTGATTTCAGGTACACTTGTTTAAAATATATGTTTGAAAATAATTTGTTTACTTTGCAAGACTTTACTAAAACTGCCATTTACATTAATTTTGATTTCAGGTTTTACACAATGTGATGCATAGTATATAATCTTGTTGGTTAATAACTTACATAAATAGTAAATTTTTAGTTTTCAATTATTAATATTTTGATCATAATTTCTTTAAACCTAACCTAAAAACCTGAGAACTAATTTTTAATTTTTCGGATAAATGCCACCTCTGTTTCTTTGTGAACGAATGTTTTCAATGGTTAATAGTTTTATCATAAAATTCTCACAACATTTGCTTTGTTGTAATCAGTTTTTCAAACCTAACCTGAAAATTAATTTTTCATTTTTCATAAAATAGCTATTTTCATATAACATGTAAATTTGATGTTTTACTCTATTTATGGCTTTGCTGTAACGAAAATATTTAATTTTTTAAAATTAAATCTAAGTATTAATGTTAAAAGTCGTAACAATTGACAACGTCAACTTGACATTTTATAAGAACAAACTTCATATTACCAACTTTCAATGAAACAGTTATTTCAACTATCAGTTTCTTAACGTTGCCAGCGTTGAATCGTTAAAAATAACTATAGTTGAAAAATAACTAGTTATTTAACTAGTTGACGAAAACCCGTTAACCGTTTCGTTTCGTTGACGGCAAAACCGTCAACGACCCACCTCTAGTCTCTAGTAACACTTGCGGCCCGTTTACTAACGTTTCTGTATATAAATAAAACTACAAACAAAACTACTTACTACAATTTAATCATAATTAAATATTATTCACGTAAAACATCCTACTAAAGGTAATTGAACATCATCTGTCACAAACGTTTGACATTTCACGTATTATCCACCGTCCACTGTTTTATTCAAATCGGTTTAGCCGTTTTCGAGTTTTACTAAGACATTTGAAAGAGAGCTCCATTTTTATATTTAGGATTTATTAATTTATTCTTAAGCAAGCCGTAATCTATAATAATAGATATTATTTCAGGCTCTTGTCAAGCTTGCACGAATTTCGTTTCTGAAAAAAAAGAGCTGAAAAAAAGCATTCGAACATTAAATACAATGTTCATCATATCAAAGTCTATCTGACCACCAGTTAAGCTCAAAATTCTTGCACAAGGTTGAAAGTTATGCTCATTTAAAACCGGCGATCAAATAAATGGTCAGACTACATAGATAAAGTATAAGGATTATGCAAAAAAAAATTATGCAAATAGTTATTGAAATCAAATTGAGAAAATTCAGTAATATCATAAAAAGCTAATTCTTTAAAAAGTTTAACTAGGGAAGCATGAAATTTTTTGCTGTCTAAGTTTCGGGTATTGAGTGGAAGTTTATTCATAAGCTGAATATCTAGACCGTCGATCGTATTGAAAGAGCTGGCTAATTTATATGTGCGCGCCTTAATAAGTTTGTGTCTAGTGTTGTAGTTTGAGAAGGACGAAGCCATATCGAAAAGTTTCGAATTGTTTTTGATGAAAGATATTGTTACCATCAAAAAAATGCATGGGACAGTTAGAATATTGTGTTTTTTAAATATAGGTCTGAAGGAGGCTTTATTGGACAAGGAAAAAATTATTCAAATAGCTCTATATAAGATTGTTGTTAAAACAAGATTTCAATGTTTCAGAAAAAATAGAGAATTTTTGTTTGTTTGCACATTTTATATGCAAACTAGTTAGTTACTAATTCATTTGTTAAAATTTAGTGATGATAGATTGATAAGGAGAGTAATTGCTACAACCAACTTTGTGCTGCCTTAGCTACGTGTGATTAGCAGAACAACAGGGTCCATATTTGAGAACCGCGTTTTATTTAATTCAGGTGACAGTAGTAATTTAGATTTGGTTAGCGCAATTTTTAATAGTGAAGTCCTATACATGTCCTGAGTTTTTATCTTTACCTTCATTAAAATTTGATCTCAATAATCGAACTTCAGGCATTCAGGCCAATGGATTTTGTCAAAACTTTTGATGGATCGGATCAAAATCGAATTTCTGCATACATGTCTTTGAAAGTATAAATACGACTGGACCATAGGGCATTATTAAAATTTATTTTACATGTCAAATTAGCAGGTAGGGCTATACAAGTCACACAATGCATGCTCTCTTCAAATAGAATTCAACAAATGCAAAAGTACTAAATGAGACAGTAAAAAACTTTGTTTTCAGACTGCAAATAATTTTTAGACTGAGAACAACTTATAGACTCGGCTATAAAAAAGGATAAATGACGTACAGCAAACGTTTAGTTTACAGAATTACTTTAAGAGCTGAGTTTAAAATGATTGTTAAGTGTAAATCTCCTGCGAACTGAAATGTTGCGATTTCAATTGCCACGGAATAAGATTAATTTTAATTCGGGGAAAGAAACTCATTCACCTGTTAAGAAAATTCAATTTGTAAAGTCAGTAAGCTGAAAACCGCTTGTCAAATAAAAAAACTAGCTTATATAAATTTAGAAATTTTAGTCACTCATACTCATATTATTAATTCAACCAACTTTTAATGTAGAGAAATTAGGCATTTTTAATAATCCAATATCGAATACTCGTAAATGTCGCTTTAGCGTTTATTAGTAATCTTATATATAACAATGAATTGCAAAATGTGTTGGTAAGCGCATAATTCAACAACTCATAGACCAATTTGGCCAATTCTTTTTTTAAAATGTTCAACTCGAATAATTGCCGGGAAAACCCTAAAAACAGCCTCATCTTTTTCACATACGAACGTTTTCTAACTAAAACGTGGAATCAATTTGAGCTTTAATTTGTTTATAATGTGTAAATAAATAAGGTAAATTAGATAATTTATAAAGGTAAACTGGTGGACAGGTAAATGGGAGGATATGTAAAATGGTAGAGAGAAGAACTGGTAGATAGACGAATATGTGGATAAATAAACAGGTTGACAGCTTAATTGGTAGATATGTAGAACCCCACCCTGTATTTAAATAATTTTGATGTCATTTTATAAGCATTTTCGAGAAAATTCGAAATACCAAATTTCAAATTCGTAGCTCATCATTTGGCCGAGATATCAGTGAAAACATGTGAAAGTGGCCCCTTTTTTCAAACTCATTTTTGTCGGAAATATGAGAGATATCGAAAAACTGTTAACGTACTGATCTTGCCTATGTTGTTCATAACAAATAATGTGAAAAAATTATTTGTTAGTGCGTGAAAAAGTGAAAATGATTTTTCATTTTCTATTTTCTACCAGTGCGGCTTGTTTGACTACTTTTATATTAGCATCATTCGAAAGCCTGTACATTTTTTTTTATTATTCAAAAATTCATTTAAATCTAAGTGGAACTTTGGGAGAAAAGTTGGAAAAACTTAAGCTGGTACGCACGCTGCCGATACAAGAACAGGCATATAAAGTTGCTTTGCAAGAGCGACGATCAAGCATAAGGCTAAGTGCTTAAAAATTAAAACTAGAGACATAAAAAAATTGTGACGGATAACAGAATAAACGGCAACGAATGGAAATGCAATCATTGCAAAAGTGAGGTTAGGGCCACGACGTCAGACGACAGAGATGACTCTAGCATTAGTGAAATGGAAAAGTTATTTCGTAAGTACTTTATTCCATTCAAAAGTGAGGTTGAAAGCAATCTTACCGCCATTAGAACGGAGCTTCTGAAAATTTCGGAACAAAATCATTTAGTTAATAACACAGGCCAACAAAAAAAATTTTTTTTTTGTGCCTCAAATGTTAGAGCTGATTCTTATAGTATTTTTTGCGCTGATTTCAAATCTGCAAACCATTTTTTTGTATCAGCTCTAGTTTTTGAGATCCAAAGAAGTTGCCAAAACCAGGTCCATTCGAGGTCGTCATGGCAAAGAACTTTTCACAGTGTCAACTAATGTCCTAACTAAGGACGAATGGGTCTTGTAAGTTTGTATGTACGAGTACTCATATCTCCTTAAAATAACATTCGGAATTGTATTACTCTTTTGTACTTTCGTTCCTTATATTAGGTGCGCAACTAAGTTCTCGCTGTTTGTCAGTATATAGCTCTATCAGTAAGGGTTGGCCGATTTTGACAAATCCAAAACGTCTTGAAGTAAGTTTAGAGTAAGTAAACAAACTGCTGCGACACATAATTGATTTCGTTTTTGCATTATATACTTCTGTTTAAGTGAATATGTCCAATTTTATGCCAAACAATCGTTATTTGCGAGGAGTGTTGATTTTCGTCTTCCATTCAAAAAAAAACGGGAACTTAAGTGCATCGAGACCTACGGCAATATTGCTCTGAGCGAAACAACATGCTGTGAAGGGCTTCAAAAATGGTGATTTTGATGTTGACGACCACCCTCGTGAAGGAAGACCAAAACCTTCAGATTTTACAATACCATTTCAAAAACGCTAAATTGAAGGCCTTGTTCGAAGAGGATTTGTGCCAAACTCAAGAAGATATTGCTTTAGAATTAGGTGTTACCCATCAAGCCATTTGCAAGCTATTGCATGCGTCGGGGATGATTTAGAAGCAAGAAACTTCGGTTACTTGTGAGTTGAAGCCAAGAGACGTTGAGCGTCGTTTTTTCGCCTGTGAACAACTGCTCCAGCGGCGAGAAAAGAAGAGGTTCTTCATCACATCGTGACAGGTGAAAAAAAATGAATACATTACAGCAATCCAAAGACGAGAAAATCTCGGTTCGGCCAAATATTCACTGCGAAGGTTATGCTCTACATATGGTGGGACCAAGTCGGTGTTATTTGTTCTGAGCTGTTGAAACCGAGTGAAACCATCACTGGAGAACTGTATCGAACTCAATTGATGCAATTTTTTTATAATAAAGTTACATTTTCATCGAAAAAACAGCGAGAACTTAGTTGCGCACCTCATACCGTAAAAAATATCATATACGATCGTATATCGTATCTTGAAAACTAAAGCTCATAGAAAAAAAACAATGTCATTTTTGAAATCAGCGCCCCAAATATACTTAAAAACAGTATTAAAATCGTTTGCACCATTTTCTTTGTTGACCTGTGTAATATATGTAAGCAACTGAAAACACAAGTGACATCTGTTGAGGAGAAAGTTAAAACGCTTGAAGAACAGTTCGTAAGTGCAGATGACAAGTACGCCGAATTCAACGATCGTAAGAGACGCGAAAAGAACGTAGTAGTTCAACGTAGTAGAGTCGAATAAAACTAATGGACAAGACAGATTACAAGACGACATGACGAATATTACTAAGCTCTTACCACAAGACACACAAATTACAACAAAAGACCTCAAAGTTCGTGGTGTTGGAAAACCAACTACAGGTAAAATCAGGCCATTATTAATTGAAACCCCATCCGAAACAACCGCTAGAATCTTAATAAAAACTAAACATCTAAATGGGGTTTCTATGAAACAAGACATGACGCCCAGACAATTAAGTCATCTGAAAATGCTGCGAAACTAACTAAACTCAGATATGGAAAATGCAGACAAAACAATCAAATATATAAACGGTGTCCCTAAAATAGTGAAGCTACACTCCTTTCGCGGGTCATCGCAGGAACGAACATCTTGAACGCGGCTTATCAATCTACTTTCAAAACACTAGGGGTCTTAGAACAAAACTGAACACATTTCGAACGTCATCTTCTGTGAGTGATGTAATTTGTGTTACAGAGTCATGGCTAAAGTCTGATATTGCTGATGGCGAGGTAATCGACAACACATAAGCGATTTCTAGGTGCGATAAAGATCAAATCAGTGATAAATATGAAAGAGGTGGTGGTGTATTCGTGGCAGTGAAGCGTAGTTTTTCAACGGAGTTGATTGCACTCCCTAATAATAATATTGAACAAGTCTTTGTAAAAATTAAAACTGCACCACACGACACAATTATCTGCTGTGTTCACCTATCTCCTAAATCAACTGTAGAAATCTATAAAGAGCATATATCTGCAATAACATCAATATCCAAAAAATACTCAAAAGCAAGTATATTAATCGCAGGTGATTATAATTTACCCAGCAGCCTACAGCAAGAGCATTGTTCGTGCTTGTTTTATGAAGAGTTGTCACTACTAAATTATCGGCAATTTAACAACATTCAAAATCATAGTGGAAAAACGCTTGACTTGTGCTTCAGTAATATACACGCAACTGTAGAGCGTTCTCATGCTTCAACTCATCCACTTGTCCACAAACATCAACACCCAAAAACATCTCCCTCCGAAAAAGACTCCAACATACCAATTTAATTTAGCGGATTATGCTGGCCTGAATGACTATTTTAAACAGTGATTGGATCGATTTATACAAGACAACCAGCATTGATGAAAAAGTAGATAAACTATATAAAGTAATAAACAATGGTTTATTACAGTTTTTTCCGCTCCTATTCTGCAAAAACACTAATTATCCCAGATGGTTCTCAAAAAAACTCATATCCACCATTAAATTTAAAAAAAAACTCATACAGAGTACAAGAAAAATATTTCAGATCCACATATAATGAATTTTGCCAACTAAGGTATGATTGCAAGAAATTGAGCAAGCAGTGTTGTGAAAACTACATTACTAAAATGGAAAATAAAATTAAATCTGACAGTACTAAATTTTGGACATTTGTGAAAAAAAGAAGAAAAAAAATTCAAATACACCTGACTTGGAATGGTTTAGTGGCTCATGAAGAAGAAAATATTGCAAACCTATTTGCATCTTTTCTCAGAAGTACTTATTCATCTAGCATTAATAAAACTACATCTAACGAATATGAGGAGGGAACAAATACCATCGACGCCGACCTCTCAAACGTAGATGTGAGTTTTGATAAAGTATATGATCTACTGTTAAAATTAAATGTGAGAAAAGGAGCCGGTCCAGATGGATTACCTAACACACGTCTCATGAATTGCGCCGCCAGCCTTTGTGAACCACTCACACACATCTTCGCTAAATCCTTACAATACGGTAGTTTCCTGTCAGCTTGAAAATCAGCTTATATAACACCAATCCATAAATCTGAATCTAAAACAACAGCCGATAACTATCGTCCCGTTTGAATCCAATCTGCTACTTCTAAGTTGTTCGAAAAATTAGTGCTACCAAAATTGTCGTGGTCTTTCAAAAATATCATAACCACAAAACAGCACGGCTTTTGTGGTGGCAGATCTACAACAACAAATCTACTATTATATGCAGAACAAATATTAGGCGCAATGAACAACGGCCTGGATGTCCATACAATCTACACAGACTTCAGTAAAGCGTTTGATCTCGTCGATCACAATATTCTGTTAAGGAACCTACAGCGGTATGGAGGTCTTTCAGGGGCAAAATGTTAGTCTGGTTTAGATCCTACTTAACAGGCAGGCATCTACTGGTGAGACTAGATGGCCATTTATCTGAAAAATACGAAGCGATATCTGGTGTACCGCAAGGATCACACTTGGGACCAATATTATTCAATATTTTTATTAATGACATAGGCACTGACTTCAATTCTGATTATCTTTTATACGCAGATGACCTCAAAATCTATAAAACTATAAATTGTGATGATGATAGATTATCGTTACAACAAGACATTGCGTAAATAAACAACTTGTGTATAAGTAATAAACTTAAGTTAAATGCTTAAAAATGCGCAGTAATGATACTATCTCGATCCCACAATTCAATTCAACAAGACTACTATTTATAGAACCAAAAAATAAATCAGTGACTTCTATAAAAGACCTTGGAGTTATTTTTGACACCAAATTAAACTTCTCGCAGCATATTAACAAAATTTCCCTTCAAGCCCTAAGAACACTTAGCTTCATCATCAACAGTGGTCGAGATTTCCACAGCATAGACATACTATACATTCTGTACTCCACACTCGTCAGGCCTACTCTAGAATATAACTCCATAGTTTGGCCACCTCACACTGAATTATCAAGCAACAAACTTAATAGAGTGCAAAAAAAAATTGAAAAATACCTTAAGGGGGTTGTTCTTTTTTATTTTTCTTTGTTTCGGTTTTGAGATTTTTTGATATTATGAAAGATAAAAACCTTAGAATCATTTAAAAAAAAATAATCTCAATATCTATTTTTTTGACAAAGTTATAAATATATATATCTCTATATGTATGATCCTCTGAAAGCGTTTTTTTATTGCTCCGCGAGCTATTGTATGCCAGATTCCTCTTTTTCATTATAACACCTCATGCACATGACCTTTTTAATGTGTCAGCATCTTTGAACACCATGGTGTATTTAGTACATTAAGTTAAATGGTGTATTCAGTACATTATATTAAGAACTTTAAATACGTTTTTCTCAAATTGACTTTTTTCAATGCGGTGCCACAAATTAAACAAAAACTACAAGTCGGATCGACTTGTATTTTTTTTTAATTTGTTCATCACTGCAATACCTAGTCCCCCTACCTCAAACAACTTGATAACATTACGCAAAAAAAATTTGCGAAGCTTCTCGCCCCAAAAAAAAAGACCTTTTTTGACACTTTTTTTTAAATAGCTGCCATTTTTTCCTTCTTGATTTTTTTCTTTCATTTTGGTAGGGGGACTCGAAACAAACTTCTTCTTCAACGTAATTTCTTTTTTTTTTATTTCGGGCGATGCGCAACGGATTTATCTGTGGCACCGCAAAAGAGATCGATTTTGCAAGGCCGACTTTGTCGCCCCCTGGTTAAAAAAAGACGGCGCAAAAAAAGAAGAAAATCACGTAATATTCTATGATTTTGTAATTTTTGTTTAAAAAAAACCGCATGTCTCTATGATAAATACATTTCGAGAAAAAAAAAACAAAAACAATACCTTGCATTTTTGTAAACAAAAAAAGAACAACCCCTTAAGCACTTTGCGCAGTCGAAAAGAATTAGTGCACATGAAAGCGAAATTTTTTTGCTGAAATGCGAGGACAATAACCTAACCAAACGACAGCAAATTACTGATCTTATTTTTTTCATAAGACAGTAAATGGCTCAATTGATTCCCCTGCGATTCTAGAAAAAATAATTTGATATGCCCGAGACAAGGATTAAAAACAGACGGTACTGTGCAGACTTCAAAAAAGCCGAAAATCTATATATTGAACGGTCCAATGGACAAAGTAGCAATGGTGGTCAACAAACAGTGCTCAAAACTAAACTTTTTTAATTCATCACATAATACATTTACCAACATTGTCAAAAGGAATAATACTTATTAGTATTTGCTAGCATTAATGGTGTGCTTGAGTCTACATGTAAGTGCATGTGCGGACGTATGTATGTACGAGTGTATGTATAGCTGTCCGTATGTGTGTTGTATGTGTCTGTGAAAATAACAGAGTTTAACATTATTATGTTACATTACCATATAATTAACTGTGTGTAGCCGATTGGCTATAATATAAATTTATTATAATAAATAAATAAATAAACAAAAGTCGATTATAAAAACCTTTGACCAAGTTTCAACTATATTCGAGTTCACTGACAACGTCGAGTAAACATCTTATCTGCATTGCAGTGCATTAAGTAATAGTGACGCATAGTGATTCATTTATATTCTAAGTGATAGACAATTATTTTATCATGATTAATAATTGTTCTAGTAAATTTTTTCAAATTTAGTGTTTGATTTATTTTTTTATAATCATTTCGTGAACAGTTTTTTTTAAAAGTTCAAACTTGGATAAACCTAACAGTGCCCCTTAGGGGCTTAATATGGAAATTTGTCAAACATTCGTGTTGTCGAGTCGAACAATATATTAAATGACGATTCGATGACAAATGCGTAATACGCAGTGCATCAATTACAAAATAATCAACCACAAATAACCCAAATAAATACTATTCAGTCAGCACTTTCGATGACAAATGCGGGATACGCAGTGCTTCAATTACAAAATAATCAACCACAAATATCCCAAATAAATACTATTCAGTCAGCACCTTCGATCTCTTCGATAGATTCGAATTCAAATTTAAATCCCTGGCAAGTTGTGACAGGTGTAAAACAAAAATGTGCAATAAATGTAAGTGAGAATTCATTAAAATTAAACAATAGATTTAGCGCTCTAGAAAATGACGCTTCTAACTCCAGCTCTCAGCCTTCCATTATTAATCAAGCAAAACTACCACCGCCCGTTTTTATTTATGGAGTGAATAATTTTAGAGAAACGGTTGATGTTTTTAATAACGTAATTGATAAA